GTTATTACTGGAGTTGTAGTTGTTACTAGACTTGTAGTTGTTACTGGACTTGTAGTTGTTACTAGACTTGTAGTTGGTACTAGACTTGTAGTTGTTACTGGACTTGTAGTTATTACTGGAGTTGTAGTTATTACTGGAGTTGTAGTTATTACTGGAGTTGTAGTTGTTACTGGAGTTGTAGTTGTTACTGGACTTGTAGTTATTACTGGAGTTGTAGTTATTACTGGAGTTGTAGTTATTACTGGAGTTGTAGTTGTTACTGGACTTGTAGTTGTTACTGGAGTTGTAGTTGTTACTGGACTTGTAGTTATTACTGGAGTTGTAGTTGTTACTAAACTTGTAGTTATTGTGGGACTTGTAGTTGTTACTGGACTTGTAGTTGTTACTGGATTTGTAGTTGTTACTGTACTTGTACTAGTGGTTGTAACTTTACTAGTAGTCTGTGTACAGAGTTGTGGTGTAGAAATAGTTGTATTGTAACAAGTTATATTGATATTACCTACAAAGTAATATATAAATATAGAAGTCTGTAATAAAATATGAATCATAATTTCAATCCAGATTCATTTTCAGTTGTTATGAAACATTTTAAAGTAAATATTGAATCTGGTGCTAAATATAACTTTTATAATTTGGATCGCGAGTATCAGTGAACCATGACAATATACTGAAACAAATTTCAGACCTAAAATAAAAATTATTTCAGTGTATTTAAAAAGTAAGTAAACTAGGTAACATATACTAGTATTTTTAATCACTGTTTACAATTTACACCTTAACATAGGTACGTATCAACTTGATTTTCGATGATACAATGATATTCAACGGGTTATTTGTTGATATGCGCATTTAAGACTTTAAATATAATCTTGTTTTAAAGTTAATAATAAAAAAAAACAATTGACATACCTGGGTAAGAATTAATTCTAATTCCAAATTCTAAATTATCATTTACAGAACAGTCATTTTCTTCTAGTTTTATCTTTAACTGGTTTGATCCACTGATAGTGTAGGAAATATCTGGAGACATATTGTTTTCAAAATAATTGGTAGAAGTTCCATTAGAAACAGATAACTTGTATTGTTGACCGCTAAAAGTGGAGATATTGAATATAACTTTAGTTAAACTTCCAGTTTCTGATATTATTTGACACCAGCAATTGGTAGAAGCAATCTTGAAGATTCTGTTTAGGAAAACAGAGTTCATGATCAGTGTCTTATTTTCACACATATCAACTGGAATTATAAGAAACAAATGACTGAAAATAATACAAATATCAAGTGAAATAAAATACTATTAATAAGCTTTTAGACGTTAGAATTATCAATATTTTCAGGAAAGAGTTGTTTTGCGGCGTACTTGTACCTTTAAGATTCTGAATAGTGCTCCAATTCGAGTCTTAAGACATATAATTAAAGGGGTATATAAATAAAATATATTTACTAGTGTTTCCACCAGCTATTCCAAAACAAATACTGACAAGGACTGGAAGTAAAACTGTTTTCCACATTTTAACTGCTGATTAACTTCTTACTAATCTAAACATCCAGTATTCTTTATATCTTTTTATGGTCTATGAAATGGTCAATAACATAAGCGATTTATATTGTAAGAAGTGTTTAGTTTCTTCCAATAATACTAGATGAAGTGTGTAGATTATTCCAATAATATCAGATTAAATGTGTAGTTTATTCCAATAATATCAGATTAAATGTGTAGTTTATTCCAATAAAATCAGATGAAGTGTGTAGTTTATTCCAATAATACTAGATGAAGTGTGTAGTTTATTCCAATAATACTAGATGAAGTGTGTAGTTTCTTCCAATAAAATCAGATGAAGTGTGTAGTTTATTCCAATAATACT